AGGCAGTCTATCGGACGCTGGATTTGCTCAGCTTTTTCCCTGAGTTTCTTCTAACAATAAATAAAATAAAATAAAATAAATATTTCAATTTATTAATCGCTCAATCCTGCAGAGCTTGCTGGCTCTGAGCGATTTACAGTTACTCAAATACACACAGGACTAACAATGATTCAAGGGGTAAGGGAGGACAACATATAATCTTTAAATCACACACGTTCGCAGCCGACGGGGAGTTTTGTTCAGCTGTAAGGTCAGACGTGTTCCAACGGCATTTTTCCCTCAGCGTGGTTTGATGTCGTCAGCTTTCTCCGGACTGCTTCAAGTTGCAGCGCAGCACTGCCACCGCCTGGCCGGACGGCCCATTACAGGCTTCCTTGATGCCGAGAGTTCTTTCTAGGCTTTTCGGTCTTACACGCTGGACATTCCATTCGTCGGCTAACGCCTCCCCCACCGGGGGGTTTAGTGTGCCCACCCTCTCTAAGGAGTGGTACCCATTTTATCTACTTGCCGAAGCTTTCGAACTGCTGGGTGGACGGCGAGCTGGGGACAAGACTGGTAGCTCACACCAGCACAGAGCTAGAACGGACAGCAGCTCTGTTCAGCTCAGATGTATTAACCAGAGGATAAATCCCCTGTGCCACCGCTCCCCAATGTCATTAGAGCAAGTTAAACAAAGGAATTGGATACCGAACGGCAGGGAGATACTGACAGAGTTCCAAACAGGCCCGTAGCCAGGATTTTTTCATTTGGGGAGCCTTTAAATAAGTTGGGGGGCACCCTTACAGACCCCAAGCAAGCACCATAAATAAAATAAAAAATTGAAAGTTGGGGAGCCTGGGCTAGATGGGAAATCGTGGGGCCGAGGGGGCGGGCCCCGAGAGGCCCCACTGTAGCTACAGGCCTGGTCCCAAACTTCTTGGCCCCCTATGAAAATGAGTATGTTGTAACCCCAACAACCTATTTATCATCATTGGAGATTCCATCCCATTGCAGGGCTTTCTCCATGGCTAGATGGAATATCTTCCCCTCTGCGGTTGTTGAGGGATGTTACAAAAAGATTCCAGTGGCTGAGAGGGTCTGTGGAGCAGCCAAGGCTGAGACAATTGAGCATATTCTGCTTCCCTGCTGTTCTTATCAGGAAGTTTGTGTGAAGATCTTACAGCCTTTTCTTGGGAGGTTTCCCTGCATTAGAAATGACTAAGAAGTTTTTCTCTGACATAATTCCTCAGTTTACATTTGCTTGCGCCAGATTCGGGGCTGCAGCCTATAGAATTCTCAAGGAATGCTTATAAAACGTATTAAGATGCATGAAGTAAGTGTTCTCCATGGTCTGTGTTCCATGCGTCAATCTCGGTTTTCGTTTTTAAATTTACAGTGTTTTTATTCATTTCTGTCAATTTTACTATTGTTTATTTCTTAAATCCTTTACGATTTCGGTATGACTCGTTTAAATTGCTATGTGCTGGCCATGAACCATAATAAAGATTGATCGATTGATGGATGGGAGACCAGCAAGGAAGGCTCTGCAGAGGAAGGCCATGGCAAACCACCTCTGCTTCTCACTTGCCTTGAAAGCCCCTTGCTGGGGTTGCCATAAAACAGCTGTGACTCTGACTCCGTGGCACTTTACACACACAAGATTCATTACAGGCGAGTGATAAGAATTGCCACAGCTAAGACAGAAACATCAAAAGCTCATCCTGTGTAATAAAGCTTTGCAATAATGCTCCGTGCATTACATTTGGAACCAAATGAGAATAATCTGTGGCGAGGAGCAAGCATGATGCAGGTGCAGGGGAGGGGCCGTGGTCATCAGAGTCAGCCAGCCATGTTTTCATTGATATTTGTGAGTACTCTGCATTTGACAGTAAAGCATCACCAAACTGAAGTGTTACTCTAATTATCCTCTGATATCCTTGACTGTGTCTCTGGAACCCTCTTTAAACGCTGCTGCATCTCACTCGGTCGCCTGCTGTGCCCCCCCTCCGCTGTTTGCCGTTCCCCCCCCAGTTTGTTCAAAGCACACTGAAGCAGACAAAACAAGGCATTGATCATGACTGATGAAGCTGCTTGCAAGGCTCCGCTCCTTACCTGCGCTTCAAAATAATTGCAGTGAAGCAATATATATATATATATTTAAAAAAACATGTTTTAAAATGATTGAAAAAAGCATTTACAGGAGAAATTCTTGTGGGGTTATGCCTTTAAGAAAGCCCCACAAGCCCCAGTGTAGCCATGGGCCCGAGTCCTGTCCTCTGCTGTCAACAGGAACAAGCTTCCTGCCCTCCCCTAAATGTA